ACCAACGGCAGTTATTACAAATGAACTAAAAGAGCCATCTTTGACTGTCTTAACTTAAAGCCTTATGCGTTGTAAAATTGTAAATGGCCATTTTTAGTCGAAAAAGACTTTTTATATTATTAATATTCGTAATAAAATAAACCTACACACATGTATACTCATTAAACCTTTTTTTTTGTTATGCAATAGTTCTCACTTTGTATTTCTATTACAAGTCTTCATTTTTTACTATTTTATATTAAGTTATATTTTTACTTATGTGTAGCCTATATTATCATATTTATATATTTCACACTTGCTTTGGCAATGTAAATATTTGATTCCGATGCCAAGAAAGCCCCTTTGAATTAAATTGATAATAATTGTAACCTTTTGTAAACTTTTGTAGCCCTATTAGAATCTTACCTAGAAATAATGCAAAGCTTGCTTACATCTACCTATGTAAATCTGTGTATACATGTGTATGCAAAGTCGGTGTGTGCTTGTTCAGTCACTCTAGTAGACATCCCTTTAAGTGGCAATGAAACATGTGCTTGCATGAATGCATGCCAAATTTCAGCTGTAGATGTCAGATAGTAGTGCACGCATGGCATACCTTCTTCCGTGTCAGATGTTAATATACATTCCTGACCTTTCACCTGCCTTAAGGGATAGAATTGTGCCAGAGATAAAAGTCAAGCGAAGGTGGTAACCTGGAAGCACTCCTTGTTGGACTACTTTTCCTGAGATTTGAATGCATAATAAGACAAAGTATGCAGGAACTAGCCTTTTACTCCAGCTTACATCCTGCATCCTGTCTACGCCTGACCTATTTTGAGAAAACTTGTAGTCAGACTAGTGTAGTAGGTTGGTGTTGACAAATGTATCACTAGAATCAAAGTTACCATTGTGACAGCTGTGTATGGGCTTAAAGTAAACAATGTGCTGTGGTATTGTCTCATCTCATTCACCAATCACCTCAGGCTCCTTTGGGTCTAAGCTCTGAATAAATGGTTAAATGAAAAAAGAAAAAAAAAGATAAAAAATTATTATGGATATATTGCCAGCACTATCATTTTTAACAGTTAATTTTACCAGTCACACTGTGTATTCAGATGTTGGCCCTGTATGTCAAATAATAGATTGTAGATTTAAACATTGCTCTGGTTCACCTCTCAGCAGTTGTTAACCTATAGCAACTCATATCTCTACAGTTTTTATGGAAATAAATAGATACTTTTTAGGACACGCTCATCAAATGTGGAAGTAATTGTCATCTTGTCCATCTGCTTGTGGGGTTGTTGGGATCGAGTAAGGCTCTACCAGCTGTCAAAACCGGCTTCCACAATACAATGAGAGAGATTGTTGACTGGATGGAGTAAATATGTGCCGGCCCTCTTCCATCTTTCGGACAGACACAACTGCAGTGTCAACAGCGGGCCAGGAATAGATCTTCTCCATGAACATTCACTAATGCATACTGTATATTGACTTTTACATTACCAGCATAGATCATGCACTGATACACACTCTCTTTCACACACACACGGATCACACCCACAGCACACACACACTGACTTATACAAGAACACATGGTGCATCACGCACAGACACATTGGCAGCCAGAGCGTAATGCACGGGCACATGATGCCTACGCCTGATCTGGGAGGCTGGCCCATTTAGCTGAAAAGCAACAATGATTTCATTATATCGCTGCAATAATCAGAGAGCTAAGGTCACTGGGATACCGTGTGTGTGTGTGTGTGTGTGTGTTTGAGAGAGAGCGAGAGAGAGAAAATAAATGAGTGACTCAAAGATAAAACAGCATATTTAGGTATTCACATGTCCTTTTACAGCATGTGTGAAAGAAAGAGCATGTCAGTAGTGTTTGAGTGCATGAATTGGCTTGCAGGCAGGCAGGCATTCCCCCTGATGAGCAGCTGACGTGTATTTGTGTGGGTTTCTCATCCTGAAGTCAACAACCACATTTCTTTAGTTTTGTCGGATAAAGGTCTGTTACTAACTAACAGCTCAGGCATGAACTCCCTCGTCATCTCCCTATCTTCGATGACTATGTATTAAGTCAGCTGATCATTACTGAACCGACATTCATGGTCATATGAATTATAGGAAATATTTGTTGAGCATTGTGTAATATTGCGCAAGCGGATGTTTTATCATTCAGTAACATACATCATTTGTTCAGTACAGAACTGATTAGCATTAGGATAGTTTTGTTTGGAGACCATTGTAGGCTCATTCAAGGTGACGAAACATGACGGAATGTGTATCAACGCAGTCCACAAACAAATCATTTTGGAAAGAACTCATTGTTCATTTAAAAATGATTCCTGTTCACTGTACTGAGTGTTTCTGAATTGTTATGCTACTCCCAGCTCCAGTTAGTTGGTTACAAATTGTTACAATTAGCCAGTGTAGAATCAGCTGTCTCTCACCCTACCACTGCTGCTTTTTAACTGTGTATTGTAAGTAACTTTGTCTCTGTCCTTCTCTTAAAGGAGGAGGAAATGTTCCGACCCAACATGTTCTTCCTTTTGCTCCTGCCGCCCATCATCTTTGAATCTGGATACTCTTTACATAAGGTACTGCAGAGTGTGCACACGACGCTGAATTTACACGGCTCAAGTCCGTCCAGTTAGAAAATGAGGCTTGGCACATTATGAATGTGATGTTCTTAAAACAAACATTTGCATTTAAACGTAACAAATAATAAAATACTTTGGCTAGCAGTTTAGAGAATTTACAGTAACAAGAATCATAGCAACTTTGCAAAACATTGCTTAAACTTTTAATGAACTTATTTTACGTATACAGCACAATGCAATTCACAATAAATTAAGACAAAATAAATAGGGACCTGAGCAGGCTTTAAGTTCTCTAATGTCCCAGGCTGGCTATGATATGAAAATATAAAGGCATAAGCAGCTCTGCTCTTTATGTGTACTAATCTGTTTTATCATTTATGTGCATTATGTGCATTTATGTGTATGTGCATATGATCATAACTGACATGATATTAATGATAGAGGTTTTAAAAAGCAATGGTCTTGTTCAGATACATTCTGTGTTATGGTTAAGACTATTTCCTCTGTACCTGTACTGCCCTACTTTTCCTTTCAGTGCTGGCTCCATGTTATGTAACTCTATGTAACTTCAAATGTCATGCTGCTAAACCAATGAATACTTAAGCTGTGTGTCCATGTATGTTCAGGGCAACTTCTTCCAGAACATTGGCTCCATTACGCTCTTTGCTGTGATCGGCACAGCTATCTCTGCCTTCATAGTCGGAGGGGGTATCTATTTCCTTGGGCAGGTGAGGATTGTACTACTATCTGTTAACAACTGTGACATTGCCACAATTTGTTCAGAGAATGAGTGCAAACTGTTGTTTATGGAGAACATTTGTGCTTTTGCAAATGCATTATTATCTATTCATTGTTCAGACGCTCTCTTGCTTTACAGATGTAGACATGATCAGATCCCCTTGTTGCAGCTCCTTACAATGTGTGTGTCTGTGTCTTGGTATGTTCTTCCTTAGGCCGATGTGATCTATAAGATGTCCATGACTGATAGGTGAGTATAGCTTGCATTAATGTGTTTATTGCATTCCTGTATCACTGTAACAGTAGATTTCTCTAAAGTTCTGACCTTAATGTGTGAAAGAACCAAGCTCGTGAAAGTCACAAGTATTTGTGACTTCGAGACAGTAAGTTAAACCAGCTACCAGAGGTGACTGATACATAAGCAGGATGCTACTTCACACCCATGGGTTTTTTTAAGAGAAGACAGGGGTTGTTCACAAGTGTGTTTCGTTATTGTTCACAAGTCATCATGAGTGTGTGTGTCTTGCGTTCAAGCAGTGGGTTTGCTTATTAATTTACTTCACCAAGCAAGATATACTTTCAGTCCCATGTGTCTTTGTGTTTGTGTGCTTGTGTTTGTAGCAGGATAACTCAGAAGAAACAGCTTAACAGATTTTAATGACATACAGGGGGAATTCAGGAAGTCAGCCAAGAAAGCATTTATTAGATTTTGGCAGGGAAAGTCCCAAACTGTAGCTATTCCATCTTTTTTCTTTCCTGGATTTTTTTGTTCCAACAAGCAGTGTATCTATCCACCCATTTCTGTCCACATGGATTTTCATTTTTTTCCCCCCCCATTTTTTCCCTTCTTTCTTTTAAATATTCTGGGAGTGGATTTATGTATTCTCCAAAATACATGGCATTTATTAGAATAACAATGTAAAGGATTGTGGCTCCTCAACAAACACACGTTTGTTTGAGATGCCTCTCCTGCCTTAATTCCTTTTAAATATGTTTATGCCTGTAAAGGTTTTACCGTTTAACTGTTATCATATTCACTCCCTTGCTGTAGTTTTGCCTTTGGCTCACTGATCTCAGCTGTGGACCCTGTAGCTACCATTGCCATCTTTAACGCTCTCAACGTGGACCCGGTCCTCAACATGCTGGTGTTTGGTGAGAGCATCCTCAACGACGCTGTCTCTATTGTCCTCACAAAGTAAGTATCCGTCCACTCTCTCGCATCTTGTTTATTCTCCAGGGCATACATTGCCACATTTACATTTGTCCATGCATGATGTCTTCACCACCGGCAACCCTAAGGACGACGTGCACAAAGTCCGCAGATGTTATGAAAGGCTCAGACATACAGTACCACTACTGTCCAGATGTTGCACACAGAGAAACACACCCGGAAATCATAAGTACATGCACACTCTGACTGTGATGTCTCTTTTAGATGTCAATTTCTGGAACAAGGCTAAGAGGCATCTGTGAGGACCCAATATACTAACATTTCTTAGCTCTGTTCTAAAGATTATACAACCATAGTATTTACATTTCACTTTACCCAAAAGTCATTTTATCACCTGCTTCTGTGAGGACATTCTCCTCAGAGTTTGCTCAGTCGTGTAAATGTCATCCAGGGTGTAGTCAGGCATCTTCCAACCGTTGAACCTCCACACTGTGACATGAAGCAGGTAGGAAAATAGAACCAGTGACCTATTTTATCACGTCAGACATGCACTCTGTGGTAAACCCTTGGTTTTTAATGCAGAGAGGATGTGGGTACATTTCAGCATCCGCTTAGTGTGAAGTCAAAAGCTGGTCCTCACAAGTGTGATCTGATGAATGAACATTCGTGACATTCACTTGTCGGATTTTTTTAACTATCTGTGTCAACCCAGAACCCAGATTTCTAATAATGAGGACAAAAAACGGTTCCTCTGATGCCCATATGTTTTGTACAAGTGTCACAGCTGTAGACATAGGGGACACTATCACTCTCTCAGAATTGTTTATCAAGACCACCCAGTGTCCACAAACTAGTGACAACACACACCAACAAAATCTTGACAGACAAGTTTGACAGAAACAGACAGCTGGCAGGATTGCCTTGTTTGTACCCATTGCTATCATCCTATCCGCTGTCTCTGTACTCACTTTATTGTTGCCTTATCTCTCCTACTCACAACCAGCTAAATGTGCAAAGTGATCTCAAGTGTCTGCATGCTGCCGTAGAATGCATGAATAATAGATAGCTGAACAGCCCTGGCAGTTTGCTTGTTGTTAGCACCTCACAGACTGGTTTTCTTGGAAAGCTGTTTTACAGTTTGCCCAGTCATATACAACAGCCTAATGCCTTTGCTTGGGGGCTTGTTAATTAGAAATTACATTATTATCTATACTGTGTTGTCTGACTGTTCTGGATAACTGTTATTATAAGAAGGATTTAAATTGCACAATAAAATTCAGTGTCTGTGTTCTTACTACATCAGTAACGATAAAATATCCAAAATGCAATTTATTTATTTTTTATGCAACCATGGTGATTAATTATTTTCACCCATCTAAGGTAAAAGTCCAAAGAATATATGAGGTGGGAGAGTTTGGTAGATCAGTACTGACAGCTTTGTTTGCCAAGAAGCATATCAAAGATGTTGTAAAGTCATGATGTGTCATTATAGTTTATTTATTGTTGTTTTAGTGTTGCTGTTAAGTTGTTGGGGTGGTACAATAGAGCTGACCTTTGTTTAGAAAACTCTGCATACACTCTAATACACACACACCCACACACACACACACCCATAAACTTTCATACTTTGTGGGATTCAGTGGTAGAGTATTTCTGCCCTCTAGGGTCAGATAGAGGTATTACAACAAAGAATGTGTTTAAATATTGTGCTTTCATTTGTCATTTCCTCTTTTTTTCTTTTGTCTTTCAGCACAGCGGAGGGGTGCTTTTCGCGCTCAGACAACTCCATGGTAACTGGCTGGGAGACTTTTTTGCAAGCGCTGGGATATTTCCTTAAAATGTTTTTTGGTTCTGCTGCCCTGGGAACCCTCACTGGACTCATCTCAGCTCTTGTATCCAGACTAAATGTGTGTGTGAGCGAAATTTGATCTCCTGTGTGTGTGTGTATGTGTATGTGTGCGTCTGTGTGTGTCTTTCATCATATTTAAATTCCCTAACTGATTGATTAGTTTCTAAAACACTTCGATCTGAGGAAGACTCCTTCACTGGAGTTTGGCATGATGATAATCTTTGCGTACCTTCCCTATGGTCTGGCCGAAGGCATCAAACTGTCAGGTGTGTGCACACACAGGCACATTTAAGTTTAACTTTTTAGGCCTTTTTTTTATGCCATGCCTTCTCTCCACCCACAGGAATAATGTCCATCCTGTTTGCGGGAATTGTGATGTCTCACTACACCCATCACAACTTGTCTCCTGTCACCCAGATCCTCATGCAGCAGACCCTGCGCACAATGGCCTTCATGTGTGGTCAGTGAATCCCCTCTTTTTTTCCCCCCAATCCCTCTTTTGTTTTCCTTTTTAAATAAGTTCTCAACATTTTTTTCCAAATTCTCTCTCTCCAGAGACATGTGTGTTTGCCTTCCTCGGTCTCTCCATCTTCAGCTTCCCTCATAACTTTGAAATATCCTTCGTCATCTGGTGCATTGTAAGTTTTTATTTTTTAATGCTATCTGAATATTGATGTTGATTTAACCTAATTTGGATTCAGTCCTTTTCATTTCCATGACTGTCACGTGATAGCTGTTGTTCTCTACGTAGGTCCTGGTTCTTCTTGGCCGAGCAGTGAACATCTTCCCTCTTTCCTTCCTGCTGAACTTCTTCAGAGACCACAAGATTACACCCAAAATGATGTTCATCATGTGGTTTAGTGGTGAGATGATACAGTGAACCTTTTGACTAATGAGAATAGTAATATGATCATGATCATTTATCCTAAAATATACATATATAACATAATGTGTGTGTCTTTGGGTGGGTGCAAATAACAACTACAGCTGAAAAAAGAAGTTGATTAATTGATTCATCAATGGAAAAGAAATTGATTGTGATTGTTTGTGTTATTTTTCAAACTTCCATTGCAGCTTCTTTAGTATATATAGTAGTGATAACTTTGGGATTTGGACAGCTGGTTGGATAAGAATAACTTGAATCTCACCTTATCTTTGTGCTCTGGGAAAGTAAAATAGGTAGTTTTCTAATATTCATTTTATAGATGATAGACAAACAATTAATTAATAGAAAAATAATTGATGGGCCAGCATGGCTCGTATACCGGTCCGCTGGCCCGGTCAATCTTGCTTAATCCAAATCCACGCTTCTCTTTTCTGATCACCGTAGACTATTTCTGTCATAAGCTTACATGTTCCAGCAAAAAAGCTTTGTTTCTGAAGAGAAACATCGTTTTTCAAGTACGTGTTCTCATGTAGCCATTTCACAGTCCCATTCCTTTGATTTTGTCTGATAGGTTTGCGAGGGGCGATTCCCTATGCGTTGAGCCTTCATCTGGGCCTGGAGCCCATTGAGAAACGGCAGCTAATTGGCACCACCACCATCATCATCGTACTCTTCACCATCCTCCTCATGGGGGGTGGGACCATGCCGCTCATTCGCCTCATGGACATTGAGGAAAACAAGTCGCGGCGTAAGAACAAGAAAGACATCAATCTCAGCAAGACAGAGAAAATGGTAATGGATGAAGCACGTAGATTTCACTTTGATCCGTACACACACACACATACACACACACACACACACTGTTTGTTGACTGCATTGATACTAGCTGTGCCATCCTCTCATTTGCTATCAGGCTCTTACTGTTCTCTCTTCAGAGGGCAAAACATCAAAGGGCTGTTTGTGGTTTGTGTGAAGGACACTGAATCAGCGGGAAGAAAACCACTCATCACAGAGATGCACAGAAACCGTAAAACTCGGACAAGCACATATAAACCCTAACAACTGACATTTACACATTTTCCCGGACACACCAGAATACAAGCTATTCTGTCCAATATTTCAGCCTTAGCTCTAACTCTAGATAACAGGTACATCCTACCATTGAGGTCTCCAGTGATGTGTAGTGGTGTGTTTGCGTGACTTGTGTGTACAGTATTTGCATGTGTGATGTCTTCCAAAGATTAGTGCTACACCCTAGGGTACGAGCAACTAGATCTATCAACCTTCCATTTTTTCCTCACAGCTCTCATGCCCTCTTTGATGTAATTCCCTCTCTTCGCTCCCTCTGCTGCTTTCTCCCTCATCCCTGGTCCCTCTGTCCTTAATCTTGACTCCACCACCCTCACCTTCCTCTCCTCCATCTCCATTTCACATCGGCTTCATCTGTTGGCCCCTCTCCTTTCATTTCTTTCTTTCTATTTATCTGACTCCCTTTTTTTTCTTCTCTTTTCTCTCCAGGGTAATACCATTGAGTCAGAGCACCTATCAGAACTGACAGAGGAGGAGTACGAGGCTCAGATCTACCATAGACAAGATCTGAAGGGTTTTATGTGGCTTGATGCTAAATACCTTAACCCCTTCTTCACTCGCAGGCTCACCCAAGAGGTAAGAGAGAGTGAGAGAGACAAAAATTGTCGCACCCAGCCTTGATGATGTGTTGAGGGTGTGCTGGTTACAAATCACAGTATGCTCGCTGCTTTTTTCTGCTCAGTGGGACTGTTTCAGTTTCAAAAACTGATCCTCTGAAGAGTAGCACTGAATATATCTATATCTGCAGGACTACAGCAGGCCAGTGTGGTGTGGCTATCCCCTATAATGGAAACACATGGCATTTAGTATACTGTAGGTTTAGTATATACCTCACTAAACTAACACATTATGGTGACACAAAAAAGAGAGCCTCGCCAAATTGTGTTTGTTGCTACTGAAGATAAGCAGGGTTGGTTAGTAAAAGATGAATAAAAAAATGTAAGGAACGAGTACTTTCATGTTACTTTTTTTTTTTTAAACTGTACTACTCAAGTAAATTTTTGAGCCAGTAATCTATTTTTACTATAATACATTTGCCATTTCTACCTTTGTTACAACTAGTCTGCTCTAAATGTGAGCATTCAGTGTAAGCAGTCTTACGTGTGTGTGTGTGTGTCACAGGACCTGTTACATGGCCGGATCCAGATGAAGACCCTGACCAACAAGTGGTACGAAGAAGTCCGGCAGGGGCCCTCGGGCTCTGAAGATGATGAAGATGAAGCAGAACTTCTGTGAACTGAACACACAGTTTATATGAAAACAATGAATGGACATTGTGTGTCCTGGGCTGAGGGTGTGTGTGTGTGTGTGTGTGTGTGTAAGAGAAGACAAGAACTCTTTTCAGTGTCAGTCACATGCACTTCTCGTTTGTTCACCTGCCTCCAAATTTATGTGACAGAAGAGTCTCAGTCGGTGCCCACAGTGCATTTTTAGAATACAAGGTGGGTGTGAAAAGTGCCAGTAAAACTGGACTTGAAAATGATGTCCCTTATATGAATGCCATATTGTTACTTGCTAAAGAAATCTTTTCCCAGGCATTTCTTTTGTAACAGTTTTGAAGGGAAGACTGCAAGGAAGCTGAGAGGGAAGTTTTCTATGTAAAGCAATACTACACATACTGCACATTTTCACTTTTTCTCTTTACTTTTGTATCCGTTCACTGCTACTGTACGTGACGCTAGCTTCTTTAAGCTCTGCTGGCAACTTTACTTTGTGTCAAGGGAAGGAAACAACATAATGTTAATAAAGGCTCAATTTTTAAAGTGGATTTTGTAAGCCATAGGTGGTTTGCTTCGAATAACTTCCTGTTTAACTCGATTTAATTTTCTAATTCTTCACATTTGTATGCATTAATGATTCTGAGTTAACACATATATTCATACATATGTAATGAATAATAAATGCTAGAAGTGATGCATTATCTACCACTACACCCTCCAGCAACAACGCAACAAAGAGAAATGCAGGAGAGTTAAAAGTGGCACGTGTAACCTTAAAGCTTAGCTTAAAGGAGAATGCTCCAGAAAATTGGAAATTGCTTTTCTTTCCAAGTATGGTTCCAGTTTGGTTTCCCTACATGAACGTTTCTGGTCTATATTCATTCTCATGCTTCTATATTGTGTATGAAGTAGAACTTGAAATATTGCTGTTGTGATTTTCACTGTGGATTTCTAATGAAGATGGGCACCAATGAATGTGTGGGTAACTGGAAATAATGTCTTGTGAATGTTTATGTTTTTGTTTTTTATTTATTTATCAAATGTTTATGTGATGTTTGTGGGATAAAGGCTTTTATACTAGCTCTATGAGCACTGCAGAATTAGAGAAAAAAAATCTATAATAAAACATTGACATCCTATATGTTGTATTGAATTCTACTTTAATGGGATAACTACATATTTGCCTATTTTTACAAATGCCTTGTTAAAAATTTACAAAAGCACTTAAGTATTGAGAGAAAATGGTGAAATACAAAATGATAATCCCATTTTACCAATAGAGTTCCACCTACTAATTCCATAAGCAGCATGTGCTAATTAGTCTTTAGATTGTAAAATGGGAAATTATTATGTGTCAGGCTAAGACAGGGTGCCAGACCAGTCCTCGGAGTAATTAGATTACGTAAAAAGGTTAATGTGTTGTCATGCTGGGGACAATATCCTGTTACCTACAGGTAAAGCTCTCGTGTCCAACCCTGAGGAACAGCAGGCTGACATATCCCTGAATTGTCTCATGGGATCTCATAAGCGTACGAGGAGGTGACTGTTAAACTGAAGGAAGAAATCACAGTGTCCAAGTCAGTAGTGTAATTAATGTTGGCAGTGGCTCCACAAGCAAAGCATGTCTATGTAAGGTGAGTAGACTGTAATGCATGCTTTACCACTCTGGATGATATGTAAACACGTTTTTTTAATCTGAACATCAGATGATAGAAAAATTCAATTAGTGCAGTTGCTATTTATAGACTGTTACACTGTTATCTGTAATTTAAAATGTATTTTTGTAATAAGAATGTACAGCCAGTAGGGGGCGTCTAAATCCACGGCTTTGGTCCATGAAAAATTAATAATCCCACAGTGGATGGCTTCTTTATTCATATTTTACCCAATTATACCCAATGACTCCTCCACTGTGCATTATATATAATTCCACTGAAAGTGGTTGAAATGCATATAATAGTATACGAGGGGAAAAGGAGTAAATTACAATTTCCAGTCATGTTCTCCACTTACAATGATGATATTTACAAACTAGAGACCATGTTGCAATGGGATGTGTATGGCACAGTGAAACACATGACATTTGCCGAAACATGTGAACTGTACCATATTTATTCAATGTGCCTGACTATTCTTGCAGGGTTACCATGGTCATAGTCAGGTCTGACAAAAGCAGAGATATTACCTCCTTCACTTCTGACTGAAAAAGACAGTACTGATATACCAGTTCCAGGGCAGGAGTTTGTATGTGATACCACCAAAAAATTGAATAATTATGTGTGGATTAAAACTACTGTGGGCCAAGGGTTGTAAAGTGTGGGGGCCAATGTCTCGTTCCTTACTTAATTTTGAAGTCATCTACACACCTGTACAGTTCTGTGACTGCATGTTGCAAGGTTGTGACACTATCACATTGTCAAAACCTGTCCATAGACATATAAACATCTGGCAAAGTAATTTCTGTGGTAGTTACTGAAACAGAGGGTGTTTTAAGGACCACATGATCTCTCTCTCTCTCTCTCTCTCTCTCATACACACACACACACACAGGCTTACAAGGTGAAAACAATACCAGCCACACTGAACAGAACTCAACCTACTTTGTGTATAGTGAACTGAGCCACTGGGCCTTGTAGCTCAGCCTTCATTCACTGTATTATTTGTAAGTTTATACGATGTGGTACCTCCATAAAACAATACACATACACCTTGGACACCTTCACCCTGTGTGGTCTGCACATCTGGAGTTTCTAATAATAACCAGCTAATAATACACATTTAAAACAAATATTTCTTTATAAATCATTTTTATACTGTAGTGTAATAAGATATCATTGCTTGTTTTACAACTTGAAATGTTCTTTTAGAGATTAGATGAAAGATTAAGAAGCGCACAGTGAGTGAATCCAGCCGGATCCTCTGCCAAATGGCAAATTAAATTATGTTGTTTGAATAAATAGAAAATGTAAATACTATCCTGGTTTGCACGGTTGATAATTAATATCTCACAGTGGCACGTTGAAGGTTTCTGATTATCTACATGCACATGCAGATGTGGATGTTGTAGTTCAGGGCTGTGGTCTACAGCAGGGATTTAATTGATTAGCATTCCTTCAATCAGGGATATATAACTCTTCTGTTAAATCAGAAGCTATTGATCAGTTGCAGTAAACATCTATAGACTATTTCCCCTCTATGGGCTTCATCCCTAAAGATGAGCATTCATTTAGCTTTTCGTTTGTAGTCACACATGAATATACTGTGGTAGTTTTGCACTTCCACCCTATGAAATTTCTGTTGCAGCAGCATGAAGACTAAGGAAAGAAAAAAACAGCTCTCTGTCCACTCTAGCTAAGGGTTGGCACAGAACTACAACACAGTAATATATTAATATTAATAAACTATTGACTATAGTAAATGCAGACTCACAGTATGCAAACATTTAATCAAGAAGTAAACTGTTTTTCAGTGTTTTTCAAAAGCAGAATAGGTCTATTCACTCAGTTGCTCGCCTGTTCATACAATTTATTTATTCTCTTTGACATTTGTATGTTTTACTTAGTCACCTATATACATTGCATGTGGTAAAAAGGGTCACCCCATAACTCTAACCCAACCAGAGGAACTCAGTATTTGTTTAGAGTAACAGTTTTGGGACGTGGCATTTCATTTCATTGAATAAGAATAGGCGTATTTCCTAATATCACATTTTTTAGAATGTTCTGCAAGAAATTACTAATAACTGCTCATCTGTACACTGTTTGTATCAAGTTAGTTCAAAGTTTATACTGATGGAGGGCTATCTGAGAACAATAACATTGTAACTGACTGGTTATTCCTTTCCCTTTAGTCTGAACATCTAACTGTAACTGAATGAAGTTGGGGCATTTGTATGTACTGTAAATTAAGTTTTTCTGCTGGCTGCAACCTGAAGCTGTCTGAAATATTCAGAAAGTTAGTAACAGTGAAATTCATGACGACGGCTCATTCTTATAGCCTAGAGGAGTTAACTGCCTGGCGTCCCTTGTGTTTAATTCATTGGCACAATGCTGAAAATTCAATTACCCTAAAGCCATTAGATTCAATTATTTCAAAATGACAACATTTTCTTTTTTCTTTTCGTTACTAAACATTTTATATTTTATATGTTAATGTATCTTTAACCTCTGAAACCTCACAGACCTGTCAACACAAACTCATGCTGTGCAGCCAAATTTAGCTCAAAGCTTAAATCCAAAGAACTCTATAGTGGAGATCCAGGGTGAATTTTGGGGAAATCTAAATGATGCACAGGATATACACAGTACACATATATGTAATATTTCCATTTGGTGGAATGGTTAAGCCATATAATTAATGGACTTGGGTCTGAATATATCACTCAATGGAAACAACCCAAAGGACTGGAGAGTTGGAACAAAGTGATACAGAATATATATGACATATAGAAGATATATATGACATATATATTTTGAGCTGTGTCCATTACATCCAGGGAGTTATCAAACTGTAGTGAAAAATATTTACAAAGGGACAAGTCCTTTAACGCTTGTCGATCCATGTCCTTTGACAGCGTCTCGACCTGCTTATGACAGGTCAAAGCGGTTTTGATGTTGTTTTTGCAGTTATTGAGAACAGTCTCTGCAGTAATGGGCATCGCTCCTTGAATCAATTTCTAACTTTAAAAGGCTTGTGTTTAGCCAAAAGGTGACTTCACACAAAATTAATGCTTCAGTAGCAGCCTTATTTTAAGCTGCCAGTTATGTGTGTGAAAGCAATAGTTGGCCTTGTGGGGGTGGGCGTGGTTTGCGCTCAGCTGCAGGAGAGAGTGTGGGGAAGGATTGGGAAACGGCACCAGGTGAGTTGGATCACCATCACCTACTGATACATTAATTAAGGACTCTTCCCTTATATTGGCAGTAGTGTGCTGGACCTGGGAGAACGCACGAGGAGTTATCCCGTGTACCCAAACGCCAGAGCATTAGACTGCCAACTGTTGTTGGATTGCGAGCGATCGTCAGAAAAAGTGTTGTGTGGCAAACGTTGGTGTGACTATTTGTGTGCTGAGGCAACCCCGTCTGTAGCGTGACCTGCTACAGCCCTCAATGCTGATTTCAGCTCATCTATTTTCCTTGCACGAATTGCACTCTACTTTGGGTGGTAGCTGTCTTTATATTTGAAAACAAATTTGTCTTTTACCAAAGTAAAATGAAATTCCTCTTCCCACTTTGGATGGAAATGGAGACATTTTTGGCTTCTTTCGTGGAGCCTCTGCCATGCCAGCGGCTGCTGTATACATTTGTGATTGTTAATGTACCAGTGCTCTTCCCTCATTAAACCAATACATCAGCTGGTTCAAGAGAGAGAAAGAGAGAGGAGCTTGCAACGGTTAAATATCAGGCATAAATAGATTCGATGGGTTGGCAGCCTCTGATATATGTAATACTGTCATGCAGTGTGGTAACCTTGTAAAAAAAACTGTATGTAAAGGGGGAAACTTTGGAAGTGGTGTTCATAGACTTCACCTATATCTGAAGCACTTAGTCCTCACCACTGAGGTACAATAAAGTCAACTTCACAGGGCAAAGCAAACTGTCCTAACTATTCTAGCTCCTGTAATCCCCAGAGTAAATCTGCTTCTCTCTCAGTATGGAGGAGAGTAAAACTACACCCTTAAAGAGATGACAAATGGCAGAATTGTAGGGTTCAGACTCTCTTACGTACTCTACTGGGTACGGGGTGCTAGCAGGGGATTTAGTGATGCTGTAATGTGTGCTCTGTGAGGTGAAGACACACTATTGTGAAAATATAATATTCCCAAATGCATGCATCTGGTACAAGTATTCAGTATATAATCACAGTTATAGTGCTGAGCGAATGCCCTGTGAGGATCTGCAGGGGGCACAGATGGGGAGCTGGGAAGACCAAAGCAGAACCCCTGTGTTGTTCTATTGGCCAATGCAGCGCCTAGAGATTTTGAGCAAGAGACATGGATGTAAACACAGACATAGTGTTACAGTAGCCTAAGGGTACAGATTGTACAGCATGAAAGAGTCCCATTGCAACACACTAACTTGAAAGAATATTTAATGTACTGACTGACGGCAGCAAGGTCGACACTTTCCGCACATTTATTGCTTG